TGCTTCAGCTCTGCCTTCTAGGCCTACTGGGACACCAACTCTGCTCCCTTGGCTTTGGGCAGCGGATATGGCCCCATCCCCCTGCCACTCATGAGCGGCAGCTCAACACTCCAGAACCAAGTTGGTAATGATCTGATTCTTTGAAACCTAGGAGGCCATGTTTCCACCCTTTGAGACCAAGAGGTCATAGCCTCACCCTTCGAGACTGAAGCAGCTCTGCTTCCCATGTTCCATGTCTCTTCAGCTTCTGCTTTTTGGTTCTTTGGCCTCTCAGCCTGAAGGCACTCAGCTTTCTTGCACTGTGGGTTAGCAAGCCTAGCTCCACTGACAAGTACCCAGAGGCACCTCACTCTGCCAGCAAGACTCCTGCCTGAAGGCACTCAGCTCTCTCACTCTGTGGGTTGGCTCTGCTGTCTCACACCAGTCTCCTACTTTTACTGCTGCCATTTCTCTGCTGCTGCTGCTTTCCATTTGTGTTGTCTCCAGTGTTACAGCTCTCCTCCTTTCCTTCTGAGCCCTCACTAGAATTGCCTTTGACATCCATAATTCCATAAACAGTCTTTTCAAGGCAATCTAGGTTTTTACTATTTCAAAACCAAAACCAAACCCATTGCTGTTGAGTTAATTCCAACTCATAGTGACCCTATAGGACAGAGCAGAACCGCCCCATAGGGTTTCCAAGGAGCACTTGGTCAATTCAAACTGCCAACCTTTTGGTAGCTCTTAACCACTATGCCACCAGGGTTTCCCTTTTACTATTAGGCACCTTAAAACTCTTCCAGCCTCTACCCACTCACAGTTTCAAAACTGCTTCCACTTTTTAGGGATCTGTCAGAGCAGCACCTCACTCTTCTGGTACCAAATTCTCTTAGTTACCTTGTGCTTCTTTAAAAGAAATACCACAAGTGGATGGCTTTAACAAACAGAAATCTATTCTCTTACAGAGTAGGAGCCTAGAAGTCTGAATTTAGGGCATCAGCTCCAGGGGAAGGCTTATTTCTCTCTGTCAGCTCTGGGGGAAGGTCCTTGTCATCATTCTTCCCCTGGTCTAGGAGCTTCTCAGTGTGGGGACTCCAGGTCCAAAGGATACACTCTTCTCCTGGCTTTTCTTGCTTGATGGTAATGAGGTCTCTTTCCTTTCTGCTCACTTCTCTCTTTTATATCTCAAAAGAGATTGACTCAAGGTACAACCTAATCCTGTAGATTGTATCCTGCCTCATTAACATAACTTCCTCTAATCCTGCCTCTTTAACATAACTGCTTCTAATCCTGCCTCATCAACATCATGGAGGTGAGGATTTACAATGCATAGAATAATTATATCAGATCACAAAATGGAGGACAATCACATAATACTGGGAATCACTGCCTATTCAAGTTGACAAATATTTTTCAGGGACACAATTCAATCTATGACAACAGGTAAAGCAACTTTTTACAAGAAATTTTCAATATTTAAATAAATAACCATACCTGAGGCTCTAGAGGAAGTTTCCCTCACAACAAATTCTTGCAGAGAATGCTGTTATAGTGAGGGTCTAGCCTCACTTATTTTTCCACTTGGAAAAACTGTTTACTTCATAGCTTTGAAAAAGGGTTGCTATAGAAATATGTGCCAACCAAGGATTCAGAACCAAAAAGAACACCAGAGCAAAATTACTGAGACAGGCATTAAAAAAAGGGAATCAATGTACTATGCATTGTCTTTCTTGTCCAATTTGCTTATAGATTGGTGTGCATGTGTGTATGTGCATTTATGTGTGTATGTGCATACACATGTATGCATGTGTGTGCAGATATCCTCTCTTCTTTGCCTAGTAAAGGAGTTGGAAAGTGAGTGCAAAAACAGCACAGCATTAAGAGGGAAAAAGATCGGTATAATCGGGTATACATCAGTCTAGGGGAGGACTATCCATTTACACTTTTGCTATGTATTAATCATATTGATGATGAAACAATGATCATCACTATAAAAAAAATCTCTTTTCTTAAGGTGTTTTCAGATACAATACGAATTGAACATAAATCGGGGATTTTCTGAAATGGAGATTACATAGGGCATGTTCCATTTCCTGATTTCTCCTACTCATTTACCAAAAACAAAACAAAACCCATTGCCACTGAGTCAATTCTGACTCATAGTGACCCTATAGGACAGAGTAGAACTGCCCTACAGGGTCTCCATAACCGTTATCTTTACAAAAGCAGACTGTCACATCTTTCTCCCACAGAGTGGTTGGTAGGTTCAAATCACCGACTTTTTGGTTAGCTGCCGAGTGCTTAACCACTGCGCCATCAGAGCTTCTCACTTCTTTACTATCAGAAGTTAATTCAAGAGTATTTCTACACTTTTGAAAACAATTTGAGCTGAAAGAAACTGCAACACATGCTCTGCTTACCCAGGCAGTGTAAAGCAAACTCCTGAGCAATTATATGCTGGATTTGATCAGTTTTGACAGCAAGTCTTGAAACTCAAGCCAGAATTCCCTGCTCTTTCTTCCACGGCAGGCTTGGGGACTGAATTATATGACTAATTGCATCAAATGTTTACTTTACCTCGGCACTGGCCTCACAAAACCTGCATGTATAAATGCCTTTTCCTGACTAGCTCTAACAATTCTATGTCTCATGGTTATTGCATGACTTCTATGCCAGAATACATATTCAAAACATTGATGGGTAAAAATATTTAAATTACCTTTGAAATACTCTGGATTGTCTTGCACCAAAGTCATCCCAGAGTGGTACCTTTCCTCAACTGCTGCCCCTTGTATTTACCAAGTGGAATATTTGATTAGTGAATCCTAGTACAATTTATAACCTGATAAATATAAATTAGTTCGGGAAGTTCTCATTTTTTACTTGAAACGTGTTCAAGAATCATGTAGATTATATGCATCATTTCCTTAGTGTTTACCACAACCATATAAGAAATGCACGGCATTCACACTGGCAGTCTATTTTTTACAGTGAGATATTAGTGAAATTGAGAAGCTCTAAAGAGGAAGGCCATTATCATTAAACAGCCACTGCTTATACAATCAGTTAAAAGCTATCTAGAGATCCTAATCATAGAAAAGCTACCTAAAGACCCTAAAAGGGGGTATGCTGCTCACTGTGGACATTCATGAGGCTAAAGCAATCTCTTCAAAACTTCTCATTATAAAAGAATCATTTTAACTTAGAGACAAATACACATAGAAAGAGAAATGGGCTCTCACTTCGGAGATGAAAACAAATTAACTTTGGGCCAATTTATCTTTCACAGCATATTAGGGGCAGTGCCAGCAGGCCACAGATGTACACCCCATGAGCAGCCTAAAAAGACATCTGTGAGGAAAATGCAGTTTTATATTCAAAGTATAATTTAATAATTAAACGTCAACCAGACCCCAGATGGATGTTTCAAAAATACAAAAAAAAAAGGAAAAAAATTTACATTCATTCTATACTTACATACTTTTTTTTTCTTTTTCTATGCCCAGAATAATAATAAGCAAAAAGTTCTCTCATGTTTATTATTGGAACAACTAAACTGAGAGAAAGAAGGCCACAAAAATGAAATAGTGAGAAAGACAAAGATTTTGGACAGTTGGTTGAAAGACAGACATGGTGAATTTTCTGTCTAATATCAAATGAAAGAGACAGATACTATTAAAGAGTAGCTTTAACTATAATTCATTCTTCTACTGATTTTGAAGACAAATTGGATTCAAATATTCTTATGTTCAATCTTTAAGACATTGTCACCAGAAGTTTCTTACTCATTGTCTGATTTCATTATAGCTCCCATCATGTCCCCAGTGAGAGAAAGACATGAAGTATGTCCAGACCAGTGACCTTAAGGACATATGTTTCATTGCCTAATGACTTATGGGTCGTTCATTATTTGACCATATTTAGATCATTACTACAACTCTCGAAACCCAGGTCATCTAGGTAAAACCAATATTAACAAAATGTGTTTTAATTACTTAGAGAATTTACAACAAAGCTGGGGTTATTTTTTAAGGAACTAGTATTATGTAGATAACTTCTTTAATAGCCACTTTTCCCAGCTTTGACTGTTTAGATAAAGAGGAAGAAAGAGAGAACAAACAAACATATGAAAAAGACAAAATGAATCCTGTCAGACAAGACACTTGAGAAAAGTTCTATCTTCTAGGTTGTCAAATATTTGCAGAAGATAAATATATCTTCTTGGACAACACATTGAAAATGCTTCTTTCCTTATAATTATACAGTATACAGTTCCTCCTCCCCCATCCATTAAGTAAATCATTTTATTGTGTGTCTGTTTTTCTGTTAGATTTTTAAACTGATTTACCAGAGGGATTTTGTTTTTCATTTATTTAAAAATCTATTTCTTGGGTCTGGCATAGTATCCGGCACATGAAAGATCCTCAATAAATATTTGGAGAATAAATGAATGAATAACAAATACTTTCAAGTAGAAAGGAAAACGACATAAAAATGGCAATGATTGTACAGAATATTTGACAGTCCAACTTTTTTTTTCTGTGATATTTTCAAACACGGTTTCTAATTTATTAACATATATTATGGTTGATTAACTTTTATAAAGTAACCAAAGCAAGTGACAGGGCCAGGCTGCCCATGGATATGTAGAAAGCCTTGATCATGATATCCTTCCTCTCTGAGCTTGCATTCTAGAAAGGTAATCAATTTGGAATATATCACAACTTAATAGGGGATGATTTCAAACTTTAAGAAATAAAACTCGATGTGGAAATAAAAAGAAAAGTTTATACTTTTCCTTTTTTTTTTTTTTTTCCTCATTAGAGTTGGTAATTTAGAAGTTGGAGAGGGTTCAGAAACTAGTAAGCAAAGTATCACGTATGAAGGTATAAAAATGTGTTGGGGTGACAAGCCAGAGAAAGGAAAGTAAAGAATTTTTATATACAATATTTACTCTGAACAACTCCAAATATTATTTATGAACTTAAAATGAGATTTCATAAATTCACAAAACTACTCACCTTCTTTGGTACAATTGATTTGGGTTTCATCACTGAAGTCTCCACAGTCATTGTCACCATCACAAGCCCAATGGCCTGGGATACAACTGCCACTGGAACATCTGAACTGATCATCAAAGCAAGAGTGAACACAGCCAACCTCATCACTTCCATCCCCACAGTCGTCATCTAGAAAGAATCGTGAAGTTAGTGAAAATTAATCCCAGGAGAAACATATTCTTACAAATTATCTCCTTTTTTTTTTCAGTGTGCACAGGTTTGTTTTGTTTTTTGAAAAATAAATGATGACTAAATGGATTTATACTTCCCACGAACAATGATAGAATTACTTTCATCTTTATATCACTTGTCTTCTAAGTATCAACTATTAAACTGAGACGGAAAAAAATCCTTGAGTTTGGATTTTGAAACTTAGTTTCTATTCCACTCAGAATAACTAACCACTGACTGAAACGCATCTAGGCAGCATGAAACAATCATGAAGGCAGGTGATGACGGTGACTGCGGGACTTAAGTCAGATGATACAGGCGGTGATATAATTATGAGTTAGTACCTACTTTCTCCATGAAGCACTGGTGGCACAGTAGTTAAGAGCTTGGCTGCTAACCAAATGGTTGGCAGTTCAAATCCACCAGTTGCTCCTTGGGAACCATATGGGGCAGTTCTACTCTGTCCTATAGGGTTGCTATGAGTCAGAATCTGCTCAACAGCAATGTATTTTGGGTTTGTTTTTTTTTGTCCTCTGTGCTCGGTTATAACTATTTCTCAAACTCAGTCCCTTTTCCCCCAATCTCCAACATGAGGGCCACTATTTACCATCACTCACTCACTCACTCCTATGTGTGTATTTATACCGGAAAATTTTTGTACACTATCATTAATAATGATTTATACTCTGTATTAACACTGTTGTAGGAGGGAGGGGAGAGGAATATGAAGTGAATATAGATTAAATTGAAATAAATGGCTAAGACAGCATTGACTTACATATAATTCATTAACTGTATTTGGCATAATTTAGCATAATGATACAATGGAGTCTAAGAAAAAACATCATTTATACATAAAGAGCAAGATGACAGATTTCAGACCATCTGGATAATTTCATAATAATTTATAAGCTATTGCTTTCTGAGGTTACAAAGCATTTTACATAAATACTTTTGGGAACCTGAACTGTTCAGGTCACTTCCTCAGTTTTCCGCTTTACTTTATGCTTGTATCCTTAGACTATGGATAACATAATACCTGAAGACAAATCTCTGCTATGGCCTCATGGGACAAATACTGAGCTCCGTTATCCTTAACGCTAATCCCCATTAATGTGCCAGTTGCCCTCTCACCACTCGTCTTAACCGTTTTGCTTGGCTCTGCAAACTTCTCTTACAAACTGTTTCTGAAGGAGGGGAGGCAGCCAAGATAGCCAGGCTGCCAACCGAATCAGTGCTGCACAGTGAGCAGTTGGTACTTGCCCGAGTCGCAGTGCCATTTGCTGCTAATGCATCTTCCACTTTTGCATATAAATTGAGTTAGAGGCTCACAAGTTGGGAATTCTGTGAAAGATACAAGAACATTCAATAGGAAACACGTTATTGACTTTATTTGACTTAATTTGTATCTCATTTGCTACTATGATCAGAACTCCTCCCCTGCCTCTCACAAAAGGCACAGAGGCAACATAGATAAACAAATATAATGACTGTAACTTCTTGAGGACAGAGGATACACATGACTTTAACATCTTTTGAATGAGCACTTCCCAGTGACTGAAAGCCAAGGAGAGTCATCTGATGAAGGATAGTTTGGATCCATTACACTGTGAGAAAAATGAACAGATGTCAACTCCCCGCAGCAGGGACCTCGACCTCCACTCAGGGAATAACAGCTGGGTGGAGCGCTACACTCCTGTGCTGAAAAGTAACATGCAAATATTTCAAGGAGGAAGGCCTTTTCTGAATACACAGAGTCAAAGTAGGAGAGCCAGATCTAATTCTGCCTCTGCTGAGAGATGTAAACATCACAGGTAGGAAATAAAACACAAGTCAATAAAATCTGTTTAGTTGGTATTATACAGTTATAAAGACTTCGAAAGTATAGATTCTGAGTCTTAAAGAGAAAAGGAAAACACAAAACAACAAAACAAAAAAATTAGATTTCAAAGTAAAAATTTATCCAGTGAAATCAAAAGACCCTCTTTCCTAACCTTTAGATAACCATGAGAAAAAAAAAAAAAGAATTACCATAGAAAAAGATTTTTTAAAAGAGGTAATTAGCCAATCCGATTAGTAAATTTAAAAGTAAGATTGCCTTATGAAGATCAGATAATCAACACTGATTGCCAAAAATAAATAAATAAAGGAGTTGTATTCATCAGAGAAAAATGTAATTGCCAAACAGTTCATCAGAATAATTTGGGGCAGCTTACTAATATTTCCTAGAAGAAAGTTTTACTATTTCTATTTCATATATGGTAAAAATAATTCACCCGTGAGTCCCTGGGTGGTACAAATGGTTAACGTTCTCGGCTGCTAACCAAAAGGTTGGAGGTTCGAGTCCACCCAGAGGTAACTCAGAAGCACTCTCTGAGATCTACTTCCAAGAAAACAAGTCATTGAAAACCATATGGAGCATCTTTCTGCTCTGACAGCATGGGGTTGCCTTGATTTGGAATCGACTCAATGTCAGCTGGTAGTAGTAGTGGAAGAAAAGGCTGTTGCCTGCGGCAGCAATGTGATTTCTCAGTGTGCTACTTAGCAACTAACCTAAATAAAGGACATTTAAAATCGACACCTTTGAATTACGGTGTTGGAGAATACTGTATATACCATGGACTGCCTGAAGAATGAACAACTGTGTCTTGAAAGAAGTACAGCAGCCAGAATGCTCCTTAGAAGCGAGGATGGCCAGACTTCGCCTCACATACTTTGGACACGTTATCAGGAGGGATCACTCCCTGGAGAAGGACATCATGCTTGGTAAAGTAGAGGCTCAGCAAAAAAGAGGAAGACCCTCAACGAGATGAATTGCCATAGCGGCTGCAACAATGGGCTCAAACATAACAATGATCATGACGATGATGCAGGAGTGGACAGTGTTTCGTCATAGGGTCACTATGAGTCGCATTCAGCTTTACAGCACCTAAAACAACAACATTCAGTCTTTCTAAGTTTCTTCCTGCCATTATGATATTTAACTACAGTGTTTCTACATGTTGTTTTTTGCCAATGTCTTCAGTGCAGCTTAGAATATTTTACTTCAGTACCATCGGTTCTTGATCATATGCTACCTCCTGAAATGGTTGAACATTGACCAATTTTGTTTTGGTACAATGACTATGCATCATATCCTTTCATCTTGTTTTGATGCTTCCTGCATCACTTAATATTTTCCCTGTAGAATCCATCACTATTGCAACTCGAGCCTTGAATTTTTTCTTCTGTTCTTTCAGCTTAAGAAATGCCGAGTGTGTTCTTCCCTTGTGGTTTTCTAACTCCAGGTCTTCACACATTTCATCATAATATTTTATTTTGTCTTCTAGACCCAACCTTCAGAGTCTTCTGTGCAGCTCTTTGACTTCATCATTTCTTCTTTTTGCTTTAGCTACTCAACATTCAAGAGTAAGTTTCAGAGTCTCCTGTGACACCCATTTTGGTCTTTCTTTTTTTACCTATCTTTTTAATGACCTCTTGCTTTCCTCATGTATGATGTCCTTGATGTCATTCCACAACTCTTCTCGTCTTCGGCCATTAGTATTAAATGTATCAAAACTTTTCTTGGATGGTCTCTCGATTCAGGTGGGATATACTCAAGGTTGTATTTTGGCTCTCATGGGCTTGTTTTAATTTTCTTCAGCTTCAGCTTGAACTTGCATATGAGCAATTGATGGTCTGTTCCCCAGTCAGCCCTTGGCCTTGTTCTGCCTGATGATATTAAGCTTCACCATCGTCTTTTTCCACAGATGTACTCGATTTGATTTCTGTGTATTCCGTCCAGGAAGTCTACGTGTATAGTCACCATTTATGTTGGTGAATAAAGGTATTTGCAATGAAGAAGTTGTTGGTCTTGCAAAATCATATCACGCAATCTCCAGCATCATTTCTATCACGAAGGTCATATTTTCCAACTACTGATCCTTCTTCTTTGTTTCCAACTTTTGTATTCCAATCACCAGTAATTCTCGATGCATCCTGATTGCATGTTTGATCAATTTCAAACTGCAGAAGTTGGTAAAAACCTTCAATTTCTTCATTTTTGGCCTTAGTGGTTGGTGTGTAAATTTGAATAATACTCGTATTAACTGGTCTTCCTTGTAGGAATATGGGTACTATCCTACCACTGACAGCATTGTACTTTAGGATAGATCTTAAAATGTTCTTTTTGGTGATGAATACAATGTCATTCCTCTTCAAGTCGTCATTCCTGGCATAGTAGATCATATGATTGTCTGATTCAAAACGGCCAATACCAGTCCATTTCAGCTCACTAATGCCTAGGCTATCGATGTTTATGCATTTCATTTCATTTCGAGGGCCTCCAATTTTCCTGGAGTCATACTTCATACATTCCATGTTCCAATTATTAATGGATGTTTGCAGCTGTTTCTTCTCCTTTTGAGTCATGCTACATTAGTAAATGAAGGTCCCGAATGCTTGACTCCAGCCACATCATTAAGGTAGACTCTACTTTGCGGAGGTAGCTCTTCCCCAGTTGTATTTTGAGTACCTACCAACCTGAGGGGCTCATCTTCTGGCACTATATCAGACAACGTTCCACTGCTATTCAAAAGATTTTCACTGGCAAATTTTTTTCAGAAGTAGATCACCAGGTCCTTCTTCCTAGTCTGTCTTAGTCTGGAAGCTGAGCTGAAATCTGTCTACCATGAGTGATGCTGCTGGTATTTGAATACTGGTGGCATAGCTTCCGGTTCACAGCAACACACAAGCCCCCACAGTACGACAAACTGACAGAAGCATGGGGAATATATATATGTATGTGTGTGTGTATATATATATATGTATGTATGTATAAACAAATATGAATAAATAAATAATTCACTTAGTGTTTACATGATTTGCTCAGTGCCAGATTTTTAGCTCCCCGGAGAATATCATAGAGTTATAAATCCTTATACACAAGAACTCATTTAATAGACATTGAGAGAGAAAGAAGAAGGAGGAGAAAACAAACTATCTCCATCAACTCATTGCCGTAAGGATAGAAGAAACTGACACACTGAGATAGATCTGTGGTCCATTCTTTTACATTGCACCTCTGACAGCTGGAGCCAAAAGACAATCGATTGCGAGAATGTAATTTTCTAAGACAACTGACTTAGAATCATAGAATATATTTCGTGGAAGAGACCATAATATTATTCAATTGTATTCTGCTGGTTGTCTCAGTGCTGTCAAGGATGCATAGGTAGAGGATGGTGGCTAAGCATGCTAGATTTGGTTGCCCAGCCTCTATCCACCAAATCAACTTACCTCTTATCTATTTATACTTTTTATTTTCTATGTATATGTTTAGTTTTGGAGTTCTGAGTACAATTTTATATTGATAAAAATATAACAATAACAAAAAAATTCCTCTTCTGTAAAAAAAAAAAAAGAATAAGTGAAAACCACTGATTATGTCCAATAATTTTAGCCCCGAGTAAAGTGAAACTCAGAAACTTTAGACTTGCCTAAGTATATGTACCTCCTTAATGAAAAACATGTCTCAAGGTTCAGTTCTTCTAACTCTCCATCCATCACTCTTTCATATCTCTTTTCACTCACCGCTTTCCTGTTTCATTTTCCCTTACCATCATGAATATACCTAAATTGTTATTCTACTCCATGCTACGGACTGAATAGTTTCCCAAAAATATGGGTTTAAGTTCTAACCCCTGTAACTGTAAATATGACTCTGTTTGGAAATATGGGTTTTATTTTGTTATGTTAATGAGGTAATTGAAGAGTAGGGTGGGTCTGAAACCTAAGCACTTCTGAGTTATAAAAAGAGATTAGACACAGATACACATAATGCGGGAAGACAGACACCAAGATACGCCAAGGAACTCCCAGGGCTACCAAAAGGGAAGCACCTTCTCTTAGAGCTGATGCTCTGATTTGGGTTTCTAGCTTGGAAAACTGTGAGACAATAGATTTCTATTCTCTAAAGCCATCTAGTGTGATATCTTTTGTTACTACAGCGCTAAATAACTAAGAAACTTCACTTACATTTTAGTACATATTTACAATCAAAAGTTAAATATTTCTCACAAATTGTTTTATTATATAAAGTAGTACTTCCTCATGTTTATCATAAATATGTCTCTTTCTAGATTTTTAGCATTTGGTTCATAAGTTTAGTTCATACTTGTCTCTCCGTAATGATTTTATAATGCTGAAAATTTCAATCATTTAGAAATTTTGAACTTTAAATTCTACATCATGATCAACTTTTAATTTATTTTATACGGCAGAGCGGACTAAGAATCATGTGTAGTAGTTACCTTAAAAAACAGGTTAGTGGGCAGTTTCTTAGTACTTTGATCAATGAAACACAT